AATGTGCTAATCTTTTAATCCTGATTATTTTGGGTGGGAAAGGAGCTGGTCAGGGTGTCGCCGAAGTTATTGTCAATACTATAAATAGAAATACTCGCTCATATAGACAACGATTCACATACGTGCAGCTGTTAAACACGTCGAACATACTTTTTTGAAGTTCAAAAACAGCTTATATACAATGAATATATATATCATTAAACGTACAATATATGTCACTTCAACAAAGACGAAAATCTTCATAGCAGCAGACGTAGTACGGCGTATTACTGTCGACGGTATACAAATGCGATATATGAAACGTCACGAGCGGCTTATTAAAAAAAGAGAAGACTTTTCCTTCTTCTAAGGGTACGTGATGTTGATTAGACCTACGTATTTTGAGTGTGTAATTTGGCGGTGGCTTGCCTTTCTTCGTCCACCAGTTTTCAGGGAACCCAAGGCTTTTTCGGTGTTTATCGCGCCCATGCCATATCTACTTGTATAGGCTTTCCTAGACAAACGCTCCAATGTACGTAAACAATGGGAAAATGAAAGAAATAGCATGGACTCATACTGCATGTAGCATAATTTAGGCTTTAAAAAATAAGCTAATAATTTTTTTAGCATGTACCTACGTATTTTTGATGAGTGGCTAAGGATAAACGGTGTCGCTGTAGGACGTGACTCAGCACGTGACCCACTAAATCTTCAGTCATTATGTACCTTTTATAAGGACAGGAATAGAAGTAAATATATTACATTAGTATATCTATCTTAAAAATAAAATTATCGACAGTAGAAAACGTGCCTTGCCAAAAGCGTTTCTCATTGAAACTACTCGAAAGAAAGTAAAGTTGTACGAATTAAATAGTGTTTACATACAAAGTGAATACCTTGACAGGTAATACGCTTAGGACTTTTGCGTTTTTACTTCGTTCTTGCAGTGTGCATCCGATTTCGTGTAGCGTTTCAATTTTAAGAGACAATAAAAACACAGTTTTAGGACGCCAACGTATTATTGCATTGTGAGGTAAACAGAGTCGAGAAATATTAGAAAGTATCGATTAGATCATCCGAAAAAAATAGTGAGATCCCTGTCAACACGTTTGCTTTACAGCTTCTACATGCTGCCTAAGCCCTTATACAAGCAGCCTACTCCGCCAGACAGTTCGTAACTAGCTAACACCCTCTTTATAACCTACAGTATTAACTCTCAATTCATCGCTTTGTGGATACAGAGATGTTCTCACTCTTAACACATTTCCGGTCGCAACCACACTTCGGCGTTGCTGAGCTCCAATGAGCACCACCTCTCGATAGTAGGGAAGTTTAATAGCGAGCTTCCGAATAGCCGATGTCAAGTATCACCTTCGTGACCACGCTCCCTGCGCCATCCCGTCCTATTCACAGTACTGGTAAGCAGGAACATCGTCCTGCCAAGTATACCAAGAAACGTCGTGTTTTGTGTTTTATCATAATGCGATATTTACATAGCATCACTTTTTCTAATACTAGATGCATCACTGATGCCCAGAAGATATGAAGAACAATTAGAAGGAAAAGTTCATCAGTCGATCTCATACATATATAGTGGTTAATTATTTAATAGTCTAGTCGGATACAATAGAGCTAAAGCTAGGTGATAGCTCTACAGCAAGATCCTTCAATGTTATCGCATTACCTTCCTACCCTCCGAGCGTCCCGGCGCGTCACACGTCAGAACTTGGGTGTTCTAGCGCTCTCCAATTTTGGGGGCTGGCTGCTTCGGCAGGTAAGTAGTAGTTACACACTCCTTAGCGGGTTCATCCTTCTGTTTTTAGCAACTAACATCCTTTCTAAATATCATGCGCAGCGTTAGTCACTTTAACCCAACAGTCGGTTGTTGATAGTTTAGTAATTAACGTGTTTGCGTGTTAATCTTAGAAACGTACGTTGTCGTCTAGCTTCGAACCCAGGCATGGATACGCTTTGTCGTTTCGTGCTGAGGGCCAACCATCTCATAGTGTGCCTAACAGCAACATCGGACGTAAAATTCAAAATATGGAGGGGCTAAAGCCACAGTTATATCGCGCTTATTTTGATTCGATATTGTGGTTTTTTAAAGTCCCTTTTAAAGTCCCCTAAAACTATGGTGTCTTGGGCTAATAAACAAAAAGACTTCGAAAGATGCATCAGATACACGATTGGACAGTGATCTACGGTTACAGTTATTGTACAAGATTTAAAATGCGTGAATAGGTGTTCACAACAGGGTTCACTGATACGGCTTCTTTGTCTGTTTCGATATATCCGAGCGTATGCGATTCATAAAAAACACGAGCTGTTTTTTATGTTCACTGCAGCATATTTTGCTGTTCATTATGTATCTAAGCGCTATACGTATTGGTAGCTCACACCCTGAACCAACCAATATTTCTCGCATCGGCTTCTAGCTGATGTTTTAGTAGATGCTAGTTACTGGGTTTTCTCTGTTCGGCTCCATTTCTCATTGTCTAAAAATCTCTTCAAAAGCTATTTCACCTCCGGCTGCTTCCGCCCTCCTCTAGCCTTCGCAAAGGAACAACTCGATCAGCTTGCTACCTCTAACCATGGCCATCGGCTTCAAACACAGTCTGCAGCCGCTCCTCTTCTCTACGATACGAGATAGTAGAGGAGTATCAACAGAGAATATTACGGTGCAGTGAAGGTACCACCCCCTTATAGGCAAGACCCCCGACTAGTGGCGCCCTAGTGACCCTAGTGGCGCGATTACCCAACAATTGACGGATATCGAAAAAGGAAAACCGGCGCGAAGAGCACTCGAACAAAAAACATTGGGAATGATCAAATGCCTAGCCGTAATGGTCCAACATAATGATAGAGGGGAAGTAAGCTGAACAGGATGAACTTGGTGAGCGAGCGAAGAACAGATCGAGAAAAAAAGTGCAACCTAAAGGAAAGAAGAGTTATTGAGGCGGCACTTTGACCTAGCACCTTGTCCAGCACAATTCCACTATGTTGAGGGTAACCGATCCCGACAGTGCACCGTCTTCTTAGACAGTCGCACAACTGGTAATGGGTGACTTGGTTTGCGTTTCCCGCTATCCCTATCGGCGTGCTATCGGCGAATATATGTGTACTTCGATAGCGTCGGAGAGCGTGGTGTCGAGCGATGCGCTGCGATGGGTCGAGTTCTTAAATGCTTGGGCAGCACATTTTCTATCTTTCAATGGAAGTAGGACAGCTGTTTAAGGAGTGCTCGATAGGGATTCGATCAAGGCAAAGCGGAGGGCTCGGAGTTGTTGGGTCTAAGCAGCGTACGTTTTTGCTTAAGGCGACTCTAAAGAGGGACAAGCTAGGCGAACTCTGCGTACGCCAAATATATACTGTCTGTACCGTGCCTAATAAGATCGTTGTTACGAATGGTCAATATTGTCTATTATGATCAACTGTGCATCTGTGCATACTACGCAATTTTTAATAGTTCTAGCTACGAACGCACTTATTACAAAGCAGTACGTTGCTTTGTCTTTCCTCTATCGCGCACATAAACACAGCAGATAACATTTTCTATCTATGCTTAACTCGGTATCGAACGGCTTCGATCGGTACCGAACGATTGTCGGTAACCCGTATTAGTAACTAGGTTTAATTAAGATACTTTGAACGACCTAAACATACAACCTTGACTAAATGCAGTCCTAGTGTCTATTCGTATGTCGATCGCGCAAGATTCGGAAAATTAGGATAAACACTTTCTTAATGTAGATACAAATATATATTTGATACTTGTAGTACTATAAGCACGGATTGATCTATTTTTTTTCACCCTTTAATTATATCGTCTTGCCGCAACAGATTGCATATGTTTTGACTTCTCTTTTCCTAATTAACATGAGATCATAGTTAACAGGGTCAGCTCAATTCGATGGCAGGTCTTTTGTTTATCTTTGAGTAGCCTAGCTAACACATTGATACTAAACCCGATCCATAATTGAAGTTCGCTAAATTTCTACTACTCCGAACTACGGCAATTCTCTGTAACGAGCTACTTGAGGTTGCAGTGATCGTACGTCCTTCTACTAGAAAAACATTCCAAATCTCATGTAATCCTAAAAAATAAAGCCTAAAGCTATTAAAGTGGTGATGCCTGTCTTACTATGTATTATACCAATGTACTAGAAGTGTTCATATGATTTAAACGGGACGAACTTTTATGATACTGTTATCTCAATATAACACCGTATTCGAGTCAACGTTGATTGCGCACTGATGTTCTACTTTGACTATACTAATGATGTCGCGCACCCCCCGTACAGCTACGTTACCATCGTGTTGTTCGAGTCGATCAAGACGATGTCGACAAGTAGCAAATGTTCACATATAAACGCAGCTAAAATGGTTTCCTATGAAGATAGGGCATCACCCGTACATACACGTCTTTGTTGCTAGCGGACGACAAAGCTCCCGGTTGAGAATATCAGTGGCGCATTGCAGCTAACCGTTGATTCATTCGTTTACACAGAATCAACATCCTATTTCTTGCTCTGTAAGACTGACACAGGCGTCGGCGGCACTTGTGAGATTCGTGAAGGCTACAAAATATTTTGCGACGACAACGACGCCGGTACCGCTGGCACCGAAACGCGTTTCTAATAGCAGTATCTATCTGCGTATGGCAAACGGCGCACTTCTTATGAGTGATACAATGTCCACCATTTGTCCCTGGCTCGTGTTTTTTCCCCATTTCTTTTTTCCAGTCGTCCCATATTTTCTCCTCGAGAACCCTCAACAGCCATTGGCATCGCGCTGCCGAAGTCATCAACTCTACCAACCTCATGGGAACACGAAACACGAACCGGGGCTCTGTTCGGTCTCTGACAGACCAGCCTACCCTTTCTCTCGGTTCGCGGGAGAGGTCCTGGGTGCACTTTCCCCTGTGCGGGTGAAGGAAGCACGTATCGTTCTGATCCTATCCTGAAGCCGTCCAGATGCTAGAGTCCTGACGATACTTGGCAAGTGTAAACCCTGTGCCCTGCGTCGGTTTGGCTCCGTTCATAAAGCTGAAACTTCGTGGTCTGCAAAAGCCGTCGTTGTTCTGTTGCCATCGTTTCGCTATTGATGCAATCCCGTTGGCCGAAACGCGATCGTCCATCGAGACATGCGTAACGGAGAACATTAAACGGACTTAGTTCGAGTGTGTGAAACAAGGTACAAAATGTCATGAGATCGAGTGAATGGTGCTATGGCTGTTATTTGGCTAACGTGTGACAGACGTGTTAATTGATACGGATTGCAAGCACTAGAATCGGCGCTACCACGACGCAATATAAACCCAAACTGCGTTTCTAAGTTGGACGTACGGGGTGGAACAGTTTCACAAAGTGTAACATATAAATGGAAAGTCAGCGCACGTTCCAGAAGTCAAGGTAGACAATCGTTCAAGCGCTGTGCAGCAGTAGCATCAGACCTACAAACAGAAACTTCAAAAAGGATAACGCTAGGCTGAAGTGCGGGTCGTGGAATCGGCGGCTCGACGTCTGGGTGTCGCGGTGTAGTTAGTTTGCTGTTGTGAAACGTGAACCAGTGACAAGAGAAAGGATTGACAAGAAAAAAGGCTCATCAAAACGTTATTCCAACACTTCGCAGGGATACGTGCTGACGACTTCTGCTCTACGATCCTGTAATTAAAGCATGTGTTAATTTTTAAACTTGGAAATCTCGCGAATATGATGTGTCAATGTTGACACTGGCTAGAACATCCTTCACCTCCGCGCCAAAGGGGGCGCTGTGAGCACATTTAGCATATGCTTATACTTCTCGTGCAAATCACAGCACATAAACCAAAACCTCTTACCACTGGTGTTCCTGCGGCTTCCTAGAGTCGTTCTGTCTGCGAGGATTCAGTGTCAAAACGAAGTGCTTCCGTGCGCCTTTTTAGCACGGCGCTCACATGAATAAGACGTGTAAGTATGTAGTAATTGTCGTGTGTTAAATGTAAATTAAATCTGTGTGTCTGTGTGGGTATCCCTTATACGCAATCACACATTGCTGTTTCCGTCAAAACTGAATTCGAAAATTGAGCAGAAAATGGGGGTTTCTATTATGGTTCGCTGCAAGAAGGGCACGCTTGACGATAACCTTGACTCTATCTTAACTAATCGTTTTTTAAGTTGCCAAACAGCGAAACGAGTTGGGATGTCAGTAAGTGGATTTTGCCCTCAAAGTAGAACTATATCTACTTGTTTCGGGGTGGTCAAACTGATGCAAACTAGTATCACATGACAAAACCCACATGAAATGGTTGTTTTTGTGCTATAACGATAATGCTGACTGGTCGGTTGTTAGCAATCGTGTAATCCGAAGTATCGTAGGACACGTCTGTAACAATCATTATTTTAAGCATTTCACTGCGCAACGGTGTCATCGCGGAGAGACTTGTCGGCAGTGGCTTGTCTAGTACTCATTGGTGTATACGTCTACTGCAAAACTGAAGTTACAAGATTGCTTCACTATGTTTCGCTGCCACTGATAGCTTAGCTAGATTCTTGGCCTGCTTGTATGTCGTCGACTGGGCGTCTGGCTTTCTCGTTGGTTTGCTTTTGAAGCTGACATCAGAGACTACATATTGTGCGATCCTGATTGGGGTGGTCGTATGTTCAATGTACACGTGAATACGTCCGTTGTCTCTAGATATGCCCAAAAATACCTTTAGCCTTTTATGGTTTCGTATGAGAAGACGTTTTTCATACGTAATTCGTTATGGGCTGGCTATTCTCGCAATCCTGTATTTTGGTGCTGCACAGAAAAGCTGAAGCCTAAAAAGTGCACCAACTAACAGGAAACTGCGATAAGAACGAGCATAGTTAGTCAATATTACGTCTCCAGCTTAATATGGAAATATTCATAGTAAGGCTTAGTTCTGCAAGAACTCCTCGATCAGCATGTATATAGTATAAGATTCTAGTGTTCACAAAAGCAATTCATAAAAGCTTTGGTGTTTTGTTATTGGACATGTGTCTTTGAACTAATTCACGGCATATTTACTCGGAGCTTGGCTCAACTGTCAGAATGGAAAACAGTAAATAAATCTATATCGACTTCTTAACAATTTTTATCTAGTTCAATATAGCCTTCTTTGTTTAGAAAATACTATTTAGTAACACAATAGTTAAGGCATCGATATGTTTTCGTAGGAACGAAAATGGAAAACTATTACAACGACGGTATTTTAAATTACAACCTTGATTCAGGCGAGCAAGGATTTCGTCGCTTAATAGGTATCCTTTCGTAAAATAGACCACTCCTGCTTACGCCCATTTTTGTTCGGCAGGTCACGGCTCCCCAGCGTCTTTTCTTGTTATTCAAAAATGACGCCAGTTACTCCTTGTTTGTTTGTGGAAAAGAAAACGTAGTTAGAGAAAGGGTCAGGCTTTCTCTTATAGTCGCGATGTTCTATGAAACAGGGTAAGAGCGCTGGAGCTCGTCAGAACCCAAGGCAACCTGTAGCAGCGGCGGAGGAAACGACGGGGGATGTTTTACGTGTTCCTCAGGGTTGTTCTCCAGCTTAGCGACCAAGTCAGCGGTGTCATGCCACTTTTTTTCAGTCCGTTCAATGGTTCTGAAAGCACCGCGAGGTAAAAACACAGGCAGCTATACCTAAGTATCTCGTACCTCGGAAAGACGGTTTCAACTCAACCCTCCCCCGACTCCGCTGGAGCTCGGTTTGCCTTCCGCCAATGCCTCACGCTGGACGCCACTACCCCATGGAGTCATTCAAGGAGACCAGTCCTCAGGGACGACCGGGCGTTGGGTACCGTTGGTTCGTCGGTCTTACCGCCCTGGGCCGTGCCGATAAGCACTTATCGAAATGGCAAAATAACGAGCGAACCCAAGCTGAACCGAGAAATTGCAATGAACACGAAACCCCCGGCTCGACAATGCGGCAAGGGGATAGAAACTTCTTTAACGAGAAGTAATGCGTAGTAGGTAAGGTACTGTCGCTTGCCTGAAAAAAAAACGGTGTTCATGCGGATGAGAAAGGGCATAGGCCTGTTAGGAACGGTATGGGAATTGTCGCCGAAAGGCTGGGTTTTGCAGTACGACCCGAAAAAAAAAAAGAAACAACCTGGAAGAGACATAGAAAAGAACTAGAAGGCCTAGCCAGGTTCGGTACGATACAGGAAATCAAAGATCTGTGGATAGAAAGAGAAAGGGCAAAAGAGCAAAATGGAATCGGCAAAAGAGATGGAAGGAAACGAAAAGATTCCAACATATATCGAGTAGGGCGAAGTACAACGAGTTTCATACACCTATACAAAGACTCACATTTACTATTACATCGATGGGTGTGAAATGGACAATGGGGTGGGCGTTTCTGTGGGTGCAAAGGAAGTACAGCAGACAATCGGAAAAGAGGTCTAGAAGCTAGTAAAGATTCAGGTTCTAATTCCTTGACGGCCGCAGAACGTTTGAAAAATTTGTTAAACAGCAAGGACGGAAAGAAAGTTGAAATCCGGTTAAAAAACATTTGCGGCTAAAGGTGAAATTAATGTCATGTCAACGATAGATTGTTCGAAGCCATAAACATTAGAGTCTAAATGGCTATAAATATAGAGGCACGAGAATTTTTAACGTAAGCATGAGGGACTCATTGTGTTATGAGCTGGGTTTTCATTTAGAAGGATACTAGATTAAAGTCCACTTCAACTGAAACCATTCAGAGGAGCATGACAGGTTGACTGGAGTGTAGTACAACCGTTCGGTCCTTTATTGATGTCTTAAAAAACGAGCTAGTGCGCTCATACTTGGAGAATCAACATTCAATAAAGAGATTAATATTAAGTCAATGAAAAATAGGGGATCGAACTTGGTTAAGGATAAAGACATAAAGCTATAGCTTACGAAATATCAAAGAACATTAAAATAACCGCAACACTATGTTAATATTCGTATTTATAACGAGTACTCTATTGATTGGAAGCCAAAACAGTACACAAAACAAATTTGGTCGACCCACCTCATATTTGTCAATAAAAGCTAGATTTTGCAGAAATGGGCTCTTAATGGTAGTACAGAAAACAGACAGCTTTTTTTCAAAATTAGAGTAGTTTTTTTTTTTTGCAGAAAGAAAACGATGAAGAGATTAAATCTATATATTGTTATATTATCAAAGATTTACCGTTACCGCGAAACAGTTATGTACCTAATTTTTTTTTGAGGCAACCCATGCACTCGTCCACACTCTGCATTTAATGCTTGATTTAACACCCTCCTGTCCTTCTCCAAATAATACATCTAGGTTAGAACAGCACACCTACGCAGAACGTTAAAAAAAAATGCACGTTTTTGGGTTACGCAGACACGGCGTATATCTTTCGCTTTGTTTTCTTATAGCTGGAAGTCTGAGAGATTTGATTTCCGCTAATTTAGCAAACAACACGTACACAGTCAGTTTAGCAGCATATGCCTCTACATACGATCAAGCGGGTAGAATTATTAGAAAGAAATCGCTCATAAAGGTATATACTGAACCGAATACCGATAACAGAAAAAGATTCGCTATTTCATCCGGGCTGATGGGGGTCTAACTGAAGCCGGCGTGCCAAGAGTGCTTGTGCGTGAAAGCTGCGGCGAAGCTTATTCGCTGGCGTGCCGTCGTACGTTGCTGAGGCAGCGTGACAGCGCGGTAGACATAAAACGTACAGGCGCTCCCTGAGCAGGATCCTTTGGGAGAGCACGACTAGCGAGAGAAGCGGCAAAACCGTATCAGCCGTCTAGAATATGTTTCTGTCTTCGTGACAGCTGCACGTGTCCCCCTCTCCCATAATCCTCTCGCCTCTCGGCCGCCGCCTTCACCGGTCCCGTGTCATCCCAGCAGGGAGGCAGCACCATAGCAGCGACACCTTGTGCGCCAGTGGCCTGCGTGCTGGTATTGGAAATTACGTGTACTTGTCATCCGGACCCCGCCACAGCGGCCCGAAAATACGGAGGGAACTACATTCCTAAATGTTGAACTACATTGATTCCTGTGCTTGGCCGCCGTTACTATTTGATTCTGCCATTCGTGCAAGCAGCGCTGGTCGCTCAATAACGAAGCAGTGCGAAGCGCGCGGCGAACAGCTGCGCTGCATGCCTAGATAAATCACGTGTTGGCCATATCAAAGATACCTAATTAGTTTGAATGTTAGTTATAGATCTTTGTTATTCTGGACAATAGACAGCTAGCTTTGTCACGACATAAGAGCATCATTATATGACATCTTTTTTTCGTCAAAAGGCACGTTTCATTGTCATGGTGCATTTGCATAAAGAGGCTAAATTTTTTGCCTGATGGGAAAAAGACGTACAATAAATTGAGCTTGTTGCAGGGCGGAGCGGTGCGTCGCCGGGAAGCTTCCTGTTGGCAAGCGGTAAGGAAGTAGATCGGCAGAAGCAGATGGCATGACACGCTAAATTGAAGACAACAGCCTTGCCAGGACATCGCTGGGTATCAGCACAAGCAGGAGGCAGACTAGTGGCGATAGGACAGCGTACCGAACGCAGTGCAGCGCTTCTTCGGATAAAAGGCAAAAATGGGGAAACTGACGCAAATACGGAGAGAAACCAAGTGAACGGGCGTCAAGCCCAAGCCACCAATATTCGTAGTAGTAGCAGTGGCCGTAAAAGTAGCGTTCGAATAGCAACGTCACAGTAGCACAGCGAATGAACTGCACAGGAAATCTAACGAGATTCAAGGTGGCGACCGAAAGAACGTCAGCATTCTCCTCTCCTCGATAGGTAGGAGGACACGCGAAAATTCCAGCCATAGTCTAAGACCTACAGATCATGCTGCTTGCCTCTATTGCACTTCCTAAGCATGGAGCTCACTGTTTATAATCTTCGGTGGATGTTGTACTCGGATGTCGGGTCACAAGGAACGTTGCACGGCTGTCCACCGTTGGCTTTCACATACACTTAGCCGTTG